GTTGTTTGGCAGGCCCGGGCTGGATTCGAACCTGCCACCTTAGGTGTACGTGGCCGGCGCCTTAGCCACTTGAGCCACAGGCTCCGAGCCACAAGGCTATGTGTTCTAACAAAGAGTTATTTTCATACAAACTTACACACGTGTGTGGATATGTGCACGTCTGCATTGAGCGTGAGACAGTGAGTATGCTACAGAATTGGAGGTTCAAATACAAACAATCATTAAGATGATTAATGTCAATATTAGCAGTTTAAGACAAAATAATGAAAACCGTGATTAAAGATAGTTTATCACCAAATACAATGCTCTAACAATTCTGGATTTTATACAGGGTAATATAATAAAGGAGATGAAGTGTTCTGGTCAAATTAATTTGTTTGCTGAACCCAGTGGCCGAGCACAGTGGCTCACACCTATAACCCCAGCACTGTGGAAGGCTGGGGTACAACAATCACTTGAGCCTAGAAGTTTGAGACTGTGGTGAGCTATGACCATGCCAACACTGTGCTCCAGCCTGGGTGCCAGACTGAGACCCTGTCTCTTTAAAACAAAAAGAACCAGTAGAAATGACTAATCATAACAGTATTTTGTGTTTTCTTACAGTAGGGGCTGTTTGCAACTACTCTTGGCACTTCTATGGGACAGCACATGTGCCAGCAAAACAGATGCATCCAATAAATGATTGTTTAATTAGTAGATAATTTATCTTTACACGTAATAATTTTTTCAAATATAGAAACTTTTTCTTATAGTTTGAGTGAATAACTGGTAAATGATGGTGAAAATTAGATGACTTAATTTTCTTTCACTAAATATAATAAGATTTTATTTCAAAATTGTAAAAATATATTGCCAGGTTCCACTTTTGTATAAAATAGTTTTATGGAATAAATGTGGTCTTAATTTACTATAACAGATGGGATTTTAATATACTATAGAATGGATTTCAGACTTTTAATATGGTCACTTTCCATTTTATATACTTTTAAAATATTTATAAAGGACCTAATCAGGTAAATGGAACAATACTGTGTATTAATTTAGTTAAACATGTCTGTGTTTTCCACAAACCTGCAAAAGCAAAAGACAATGCTGCTAAATATGACATTTGGCTTTTTGCTGAACAGCTACTACTTACATTTTAAATATTCAGGGGTTAATGAATCACTTTCCAGCAGATGAGTAGAGAGTATTTTATAAACCTCTGAATGTTCCCCCTCTGGGATAAAATTAAATATACTTTGATCCACAAGATCAGACTGAAAAAGAAATTTTTAAGAGTAAAATAATTGTAATGACTCAGAGACGATTATTTTCAAAACACACCACCATGAGTAAGCACCAGAGGAGCATGTGGCCAACCCCTGATTACCGATTACTTGTGAAACCCAACAAATGTCAAGTCACAGACCATGTCTCAAAAATAAGACTGAGTGGCTGGAAGGTCAACATTACCTTTATGACTTGATCCTAGTGGCACTTGATCCATGATCAGTAAGACTTGCAAGCTTGATAATTATTTGCAAAGTTGTGTTTCACCAAATTTAACATTTTAAACTCCAACAGGACAAAGAAAGTAAATTACAAAAATCTTTGACTATATGACATGGTCTTTCCATATATTCAAACCCATGGTAAACAATCGTATATGCTACTCCAAAAGACAAGAAACGGGCTAACTAAGGAGCAAGTCTGACTTTGGTGCAATTTCAATTGTCCAATGTACTCTTCCTTATTTCATCTTTTCCAGGATCTTGTATCCCACTGGTAAAGGCCTTACTTTTGGCTACCCCTCCCTCAAAAAAGGGCAACTAACATACTAAGCATTATAATTTTTGCTAACATATGGCTTCAATCATGACTCATTATCCACAATTCATTAATCCCTAATCAACAGTGATCTGGCAAACATTGGGTTGACTACCCTGTGCGATGGCTGCAGAATTCACACATGAATAAGAAAGCGCCACAGAAAAGAAGACTTCCGTCACATCACGTTTGTTACTGGTTTCTATTTTCAAACTGCTTTTGGACTCCCAAGGTTACTGAGGTGATACTCTCAGGAATGTGGACGTGAGCAAGGCAGCAAGTAGAAAGGAGCCCTGTTCCCGCGCAACCAAAGCAGTTCTACTTTTATTCTGTTTTTATTTTATATATGTTTTATTCTATGTATCTATAAAGGTTTTGTTTGAAGGATTCTACTGCTTAAAAACAAAAAGCAGCACAGCTAAGGATATGACAAACAAAGCAAACAGACAACTTTCAGAATGGGAAAGGATATCTGCATATTACAAATCAGACAAAGGCGTGATAACTAGGATCTATAGAGAGCTCAAATTGATCAACAAAAAAAGAGCTAACAATTCTATCTATTACTGGGCAAGAGACATGAACAGATCCTTCCTGAGGTAGACAGACGAATGTCCAACAAACACATGAAAAAATGCTCATCATCCCTGGTCATCTGAACAATGATCTGCGTTGTTAGACAAGGGTTTTAATAGTAATGTAGGGATAACTTTAGAATATTTGTACCATGAGCTCCATCTTAATAAGAACATTATATATTAAATAAAACTGCAAATGTCAGCCCTCCTAAACCCAACAACTGCAGCACTGCACCTACTCTAGTGTCCGGCATAGGGCAGACATGCAATAAACATGTTAGTAAAAAACAAGCACACAATTCAGGTACTCACATCCTGATCAAAATTATACATTACACTTCTTTAAATTTTCTACCCTTTTGGTCCTATTATAATGAACTGAATATGGCCATTATGACATTATCAGTTCAAGTCACATAGCATGAAAGTTCTATATCTACTAGTTGGTGTATGGTACAGTCAGGAGCTGCACAACGGCACATCCACCAACTGTGGACACATACATCATGAAGGTTCCATAAGATTACAGGACAGTCTAAAAATTCCTATTGCCTAGTGATATTGTAGCTGTCATGATATTGTAGCTCAAGGCATTACTCATGTGTTTACAGTGATGCTGTTGTCAGCAGGCCTAGTGCACTGTCAGTCTAGCAATACAATTATACGCAGCACACAGTACCCCATTACAATAAACTACCATGTCACTGGTTTATGTATTACAGTATGTTTTTATGATTATTTTAAATTATACTCCTTCTACATATATATACATATATATATATATTTAAAGGTAAATGTAAAACAGCCTCAGACAGGTCCTGCAGGGGGTATGTATATTCTCAAAAGAAGGCATTGTTTTTACAGGCGATGACAGCTCCATGCATGTTACCGTGCTTGAAGACCTTCCAGTGGGACAAGATGGGGAGGTGTAAGATAGCAACATTAATGATCATGTAGGCCTAGTGTTCATCTCTTCGCTTTTGATAAAGTTTAAAAAGTCAAGAAAATACAACTTTTAAAAATAAAAAAAGCTTATAGTTTATGCAGCTGTACAAGGTATTTTAAGCTAAATGTTATTACAAAAGAATCAAAATGCTTTTAAAAATTAAAAAGTTTATAAAATAAAGTTACAGTGAGGTAATTTATTATTTATTATTTAGAGTTACAGTGAGTTAATTATTGAAAAAGAAAAAAATTATAAATTTAAGGTAGTATAAATGCACTGTGTTCATAAAGCAATGGACAGTGATATCCTCGGCCTTCATGTTCACTCCCTATTCACTGACCAACTCAGAGCAATTTCCAGTCCTGCAAGCTTCATTCACAATAACTGCCCTAAATAGATGGAACTTTTTTTCCTTTCATACTACATTTTCACTGTACCTTTTCAATAAGATATGCAAATACTTCCCATTGCCTTACAACTGCCTACAGTATTAGTACAGTAAAATGTTGCACAGACTTCCAGCCTAGGAGCCACAGGCCACTACAGCAGACAGCTGCAGTGTGTGGCGGGCTATACCACCTGGCTGATGTGAGAACCCACTATGATGCTAGGTACTCAACAACAGTGAAACTCCCTAATGATACATTTTTTAGAACATATTTCTATTAAACGATGTGTGACTGCAACTGAATATTAAATCGCTACAGAGTCAAGTCACGATTGACCTGAGGAAACACGGCCTCATTAAAACAAAGACATTTAGGGCTCTCATCTCCACTCTTTCACCACCATTCAACAGGGCTCTCAAAGCACTTCCTAGTGCTTTAAAACATTTAAAATAAGCATTTAACAAGAAAGAGATTACAGGATTTTTATACTTACTGGTAAATGTTCAAGTAATGAAGTTACACTCTCAGACACATATATTATGCTTCCATCTGTCATGATTGCTAAAAAAAAACCATCAAGAGCCTGAAATTAAATATAATGGTCAGTTAAATGAAAAGAAAAAAGTATCTTACAGGACAGAAATAAAAATCTAAGATAAACGACAACAGATTTAATAAGGAAACAGGTGCATAAACTGGAACACTGTCAGAGTGCCTGCTCTTCCCCTCTACAGCCCCTTGGTGTTGACACACTTGTCTATTCTAAGTGCTTCTGGTGGGGGAGGAGGATCACTTTCTGGCCACTTCTCAGACAGCTGATTTCTAAAAGACACACACTGGTTGTTCTACCTTCAGCACTATGTATATTTTGTGATCCAACCAACCTAACCCCTCCAAAGCACATGCCACATGAATAGTATGTTTTAGGCACAAGAACACATTGTTATTATTTTGGATATATTAACAGAGAGAGGTGAACTGAAGTATAGAGAGAAATATACAAAATAAAGTAAAAGGGAATGGTAGGAAATTAAGGTGCAAAACTAGGTTGAAGTGAAATCATGAAAGGCCTTGCATACCAGGTTAAAACATGAGGTCTTTATTCTGTACACAAAGGGAGCCAAAAGAAGATCCTAGGGCAGGGGCTGAGCTTCAACAACAGTCGTCTGGAAACAGTATGTAAGGAGTGGATTTAGAGGGAACAGAGAACTGAGTTAGGAAGATCTCAGGGGCTTTTGGAATTATTAGGGAAGTTAATGAGAATCTGAATGAAATCAGGAATAAAGAAAAAAGGAATTAAGCGAGCACTGGGAACTGTGAAGTTATACTCAGGAGAGAAGTCAGAACCTGGGTGTAAGACTTAGTAATAATCTTGTACTTGCTACATTATAAAATATTTTCACTTATAAATTCTAAGTATAGAAGTGAGAGCTAAAAAAACGAGATCTACCAAAAAAGTAAGGGCCAAGGATAAATCATTGGAAGAATAATCTACATAAAGCCACACAGAGGACAAAAAAGCCAGAGAAAGTGACAGAGAGGACAGAATACACTGTCATTAGAGAATCAATGTAGAAAGACAAGGCAAGTGAGGAAGAGAGGGACAGTGCCGGGTAAAGTGAGATCAGACAGAATAAGGAGTAAGAAAATGAGAATCAATTCTGGTGATCTTCAGAAGAGTTATGTCAAGAAGAAGGCAAGTCAGACTACCATAAATTTAGAACGAGGAGATGATCAGAGGCTGTTTATAAACTACTCATTCATGCACTTTAGAAGGGAAGAAAGGAAAGGGCAACAGTTTCAAGACGGCACTAAAAACAACTAGGGAGCTGTCTGCAGGATAAGGGAAAGGAAGATGCAGTGGAGAAGATGGAGAAGATGCAAAGCAGAAAAGGTTCTATAAAGAGAGATTCTTCTATCAAAACAGTTATCACACCAAGTTTCTTACTTAAAGAGCTCTCAAAAAAAAAATGGCAGCCTCTGGCTGGAACCCTGTATATCTTCCTCATCTTTATATACACATCTGTAGCACTAGTGTGGCACAAGTAAAAAAAATACCCCTGGTATACAATTCATAGACCTCCCTCTATTTAACTCTATGTAAAATTACTGAATGTATAGAAAAAGGGACACACTCTCCTATATGACCTTCTACTGGGAAAGATTTCTGGATATCAGAACTTCTTTTGAATAGACACCTATCTTTTTTTTTTTTTTTTGGAGACAGAACCTCAAGCTGTCCCCCTGGGTAGGGTGCTATGGCATCACAGCTCACAGCAACCTCCAACTCCTGGGCTCAAGTGAGTCTCCTGCCTCCGCCTCCCCAGTAGCTGGGACCACAGGCGCCCGCCACAACGCCCGGCTATTTTTTGGTTGCAGCCATCATTGTTGTTTGGCAGGCCTGGGCTGGATTCGAACCCCCTGCCCCCGCCACCTTAGGTGTATGTGGCTGGTGTCTTAGCCACTTGAGCCACAAGCACGGAGCCAAATAGATGCCTATATTTGAGAAGGGCTTAGACAAACCCATTCTTGAGTTTGAATGGGTTTGTCTAAAGGAGGTTGAAATCTTATAATTTAAACAAACTCATGAATTATTTTTAAAAAAAACTCTTTAGCACAATAATACCATTATTCTACTGCTTTCCTCATGAGGCTAGATTATATCACCTTTGAAAGGAAATTATAATAGTATTTTCTATGATAATATGTATTTGCTAGGACTCTTTGGAGCCTTTATTAAGTGCAGCTCTCTTCTCTGATCAGTACTTTTAAAACTTACTCCCACTTCCAAAGCCTACCCTTTCATTTTTCAAACCAGGCAAAGACTAGGTAGAGAAAGCCTTTAATAGCATCTTGCCGAAGTCTTCACATGAGAAAGGACCAAGGATCTAGACTTCTTCTGAGTGGAGGTACATAATTTCCCAAGAAGATAGGTGAGCATTCCAAAAACTAAAGAGGCCTTGAGGATGGTCTTCAAGAGGAAGATTAGAAAAACATAGAAGAGACAGAGAGAGAACTTCTTCACCCAAGACTGAAGACTGTGAAGTTTCTTCAGTGTATAATGAAAGGGGAAGGACCCATTAGAACTCCTTGTCTTGCTGTTTAGTGCCTACTTGACTCATGAGCAAAGATTATACAGATCTTCTTTATTTGCTTAGTGACTGTTTAGTCGGGTACAGAACAGAATGCAGGTTCTAGGCAAGGGGACAGTACCTCGTAAAGCTGATGAGAACACTGCTCTTGTAGATTACTGGGTATGAAAGCCATGTATATGCAAAGTCTCCTTGTTGTATAGGCAGGTTCCACAATGCCAGGTGTGGAGTCCTAAGTGTACATGGATTTTGGCATATGGCAGGGAAGGTGGGTGGGAAGAGAAGTCCTGGAACCAATTTCCCTCGTATGCCAAGGGACAATTATACTTATATCTAAAAAGATAAATTTTGGACAATGTCAATCTACTTTTTAGAGGAAAACAAATTAACAAAATTGGAAACTATTTGGCTTATAACTTATGTGTCTACCAATTTAAAGTGCAAACTGCTGGTTAATCACCTAACTGGCTTCCCCAGAAAGAAGTCTGTTGAGGCGCAGTGTGCACAGCGGCCAAGGGCCCAGGATCAGAGGCCACCTGCCTGCAGTAGGTCCCAGTTGAGCCATTTACTAGCTGTGTTACTCTGGGCAAGTTTCATAATCCCTTTCTTTCTCATCTGAAAGCAAGAAAGAGATACTAGTATTTATTTCATAATACTAGATATTATCACACAGAGCTACTAGTGCCTCCTTCTTTAGAGTGTTGCAGGGGTTCAAGAAGTTAATATGTGAAAGCTGCTCACTCATTGTTTGGATTTAAAGTACAGGTTTAAGGTGAAAATTCAGTGAGAAGAATGAACAGTGACTACAGTCAACAGTAAGTTACGGTATACTTTAAAATAACAAAAGGAATGGAACTAGAATGTTCCTAACACAAAGGAATGATAAATGCTTGAGATGATGAACACCCTGATTACCTTGACATGATTAATGCACACTGCACACCTATATCAAAACATGACATGTACCCGTACATAAATACAACTATTTTGTATCCATAATAATTAAGAATAAAAAAATTTAAAGTACAGTTTTAAATATAAACTCAGAAACATTTCACATGGTAACATTTCTGATGGATACACAGACGTAATCCAACAATTAAACGTCCCACCTGAAATACAAATTGGAAAATTAACTCATTAATTTGCAACCTATCTTATTTCAGACTTCGGTAAGTACAGGGCACCCACCTGAGATGCCACACACAGGCACCTCGTCTGACTGTGCTCTGCTTCACTATACTGTGCAGTTACTGTGCTTTTCCTAAGTGAAGGTCAACGGCAGCTCTGCATCAAGCAGTCTATCAGTGACATCCCTCCAACAGCAGGTGCTCATTCAGTGTCACTGTGCTAATTCTGGTAATTCTTGACTATTTCTTTTTTTTTTTTTTTTTTTGAGACAGAGCCTCAAGCTGTCCCCCTGGGTAGAGTGCTGTGGCATCACAGCTCACAGCAACCTCCAACTCCTGGGCTCAAGCGAGTCTCCTGCCTCCGCCTCCCAAGTAGCTGGGACCACAGGTGCCTGCCACAACGCCCGGCTATTTTTTGGTTGCAGCCGTCATTGTTGTTTGGCGGGTCCGGGCTGGGGATTCGAACCTGCCACCTTAGGTGTATGTGGCTGGCGCCTTAGCCGGTTGAGCTATAGGCGCCGAGCCAATTCTTGACTATTTCAAACTTTCTCTTACGGTAATCTGTGATCTCTAATGCTACTATCATAATTGTTTAGGGGGGGCCATAAACTATGTCCACACAAAGTGGCAAACTTAATATTGTGTGTGTTCTGACTGCTCCACTGACCAGCCATTCCCTCTCTTCTTGAGCCCCCCATTCCCTGAGATACAATATTAAAATCAGGCCAATTAACAACCCTAAAATGACCTCTAAGTGTTTAAGTGAAAGAAAGAGTTGCTTGTTTCTCACTTAAAATCAAAAGCTAAAAATGAACTTAGTCAAGAAGGCCATGTCAAAAGCTTAGATAGGCCAAAAGTTAGTCCCCTTGTGCCAAATAAGTAGCCAAGTTTTGAATGAAAAAGAAAAGTTCTTAAAATGCTACTCTGGTGAAAACACAAATGGTTAAGAAAGCCACACAGCTTTATTGCTGATAGTTTATTGCTGAAGAAACAGTGGGTGGTACGGATAGATCAAACCAGCCCCAACATTCCCCCTTGTGTCAAAGCATAATCTGGACCAACGCCTTAATTCTCTCCAATTCTGTGAAGGCTAAGAGAGGTGAGGAAGCTACAGAAGAAATTCTTAAGGTAGCAGAAGTTGGTTTCTGGGTATAAAGTAGCTATCTCCAAAACACGTAAGTGCAAGGTGGAGCAGAAAATGCTGTCACAGAAGTCGTACCAAGTTATCTAGATCTAACCAAGATGAAGGTGGTACACTCAACAACCTTTTGTTGAGAGAGGATGCCACCCAGGACTTTTATAACTAGAGAGAAGAAATCAACACTTGGCTTTAAACCTTCAAAGGACAGGCTGACTCCCTTGTTAGGGGCTAAGGCAGCTAGTGACTTTAATTAAGGTGAAGCCAATGTTCATACACCATTCTGAAAATCCCAGGGCCTTCAGAAGTTATGTTACATCTACTTAGCCTGTTCTCTATAAATGGAACAACCAAGCCTGGATGATTAACATGTCAGTTTACAGTATGATTTACTGAATATTTTAAGCCCACTATTAAAAACTACTGATCAGAAAGCAAGGTCCCTTTCAAAACACCACTGCTCGCTGACAACACCCCTCGTCACCACAGGCTTTGATGCAAGATATACAAGGAGATGGATGGTGTTTTCCGGCCTCTAACACAATAGCCATTCTTTTTCTTTCTTTTTTTTTTTTTTTTGAGACAAAGTCTCACTATGTCATCCTTGTTAGAGTGCTGTGGCATCATAGCTCACAGCGACCTCAAACTCCTAGACTTAAACGATTCTCTTGCCTCAGCCTTCCAAGTAGCTGGGGCTTGTAGCCCACCACAACGCCCACCTATTTTTTGGTTGCAGTTGTCATTGTTGTTTAGGCCCTGGCCAGGCTTGAACCTGCCGGCTTCGGTGTATGTGGCTGGCGCCCTACTCACTGAACTACAGGCGCTGAGCCACAACAGCCATTTTGCAGCCCATGGATTAAGGAGTAATTTCAACTTTCAACTTATTATTTAAGAAATATACTTCATAAAGCTATATTTGCCATAGATAGTGATTCTTCTGATGGATCTGGGCAAAATCAATTGAAAACCTTTCAGAAAGGATTCACCAATCCAGATGCCATCCAGAACATGGGAGGCCAAAATATTAATATTAACAGGAGCTTGGAAGTTGATTCCAGCTCTCAGGGAAGACATGGGAAGGTTCAAGACTTCAGTGGAGGAACTCACTGCAGAGGTAGTGGAAACAGCAAATTAGAATAGGAAGTGCAGCCTAATGATGTGACTGACAGCTGCAATCTCATGATAAAACTAACAGATGACGAATTTCTTCTAACTGATGAGCAAATATGGCTTCTTTAGACAAGGAATCTACCTCTAGTAAAGATGTTGTGAACACTGTTGAAATGACAATAAAGCATTTAGAATATTACATAAACTTAGTTGATAAAGCAGGGTTTGAGAGGATTGACTTCAGTTTTCAAAGAAGCTCTACCTGCAGCTAAAATAATAACCACACAGCCCTGCATGCTACAGAAAATTCTTTAGAGAAAGGAAGAGTCAATCATTGTGGCAAACTTCACTGTCGTCTCATCTTAGGAAACTAGCGCAGCTATCCCAACTTTCAACAACCACCACCCTGATCAGTCAGCAGCCATCACCAATGAAGCAAGACCCCCACCAGCCAAAATGTTACAACTCAGTGAAGGCTAAGATGATTGTTAGCATGTTTTAGAAATAAAGTATCTTTAAGTTTAGATATTTCTTCTTTGTATGATGCTGTTGCATGCCTAATACACTACAGTATAGTGCAGACATAACTTCCATACTCACTGAGAAACCAAACAAGTGTGACATTTATTGCAATATCCACTTTGTTGCAGTAGGCTGGACTGTGTCGCAGTATCTCCAAGGTGTGCTGTATGCTGAAATTATTCGCCCTCTAATTTCTTTTTTTGAGGCAAATAAAATTAAATCTGGACATACCTCTAACATTAACTGTGTAAACTCCTCATTACTAAGGAATGTAGGTTTCCAGTCCTGTCGAATTTCACTAGCATCTGACTGTGCAGTGATTTCTGTGAACAGATCAACACATTAGTGGCACACTCCAACCACCAGGAGGACTAAAGTCCTACAAGCTGCCTTCTTTTCCCACTCTAATTAAAGATGAGAACCACAGGTAATAGCATTTACTCATCTGGATATCAAAAGGTCCAAGTTCAGGTATGATCAAATATTTAAGTTAATGTGGCAAGTTATCTCCTTGGGTTTGGTCTCTTGGTAATACCAGTCTCTGTCTTTTCTCTGGGAAGCCTGGACAGCCTATTATGTATTAGAGATAGGCCTGAGATTGCTTCCTATTTGACACAATGATTCAATGACACAAATAAAAATCAGAAAAAGCAGATTAGATCAAGTGTGCTCTATCATTTGGAAGGAATTTTTTCCTCTTCCTTTTCTTGCTATCTAACTAGTAGTATCTAGAGCAGAGATGAGGAGATGGGCCTGGAGGAAAGGGCCCACGAGCTGCCAGTCTGCTCTCAGAAAAGCCCTAAAGGCCTTTCTACTGCTGGGCAGAAAGATCCCTCCCAATGCTGGGTGCTCCATCTTAACTAATCAAGGATAAAACCTTTGCCCACTTTAGTAATATTCCCAGAATGATTCTGCTTAGTGTCCCCCTTGTAAATGATATTAGTGGTAGAAAGCTGGTTTAAAATGTGGAGATCCTGGCTTGGGACATATGTGTTGTCACTATTTTATTTTGTTACACACTTCTAATAGATTTAGATTGAATCTTATCACTATTTTATTTGTTACACACTTCTCATAGATTTAGTTATGAGAAAGCTATTCATAATGATAAAATCTGATTTATTTAAACAAATGTTTTTCCATCTTTAAATGCAGACATATTAAAACAGCCAGGTAAAATAAAAATTTATGTTACAGATTATATTCTACAATACACTCTATTAACATTTTGCAGTAATAAAAAAAAAAGAAAAAATGTTTTGTAGTAAGAAGTATGTTTTGAATTTATTGTCAGGCATATAAACACAGTATTAAACCTGTCATCCAAAATCCAGCATGTAAGAGACATCTGTACTGGATCTGAAGAGTAAGAAGAGCCACTACATCTGCAGAACACACCCACACCTCCTGAATCTACATCAGTCACATGCATTTGGGAAACAGATTTAAATCCACAAGCAACACCAATGAAGTTTAATTAAACCCAGTTCTATTTTAGAGTAAGTATGTAAGAATTCCCTTTTACCTTAACATAAAGTAATATTCTTGTGAGAATTATATATCTAATTTTGGGGGGAAAATTCCACTTACTGCAAAAATTCATCCTCAATTGTTGAGGGAAATGCATCCATTTCATTTCATTTCATTCAACAATCATTTATTGAACTCCTGATATCTAAGGGACTGATTTCAGTAAGTGTACCATCCAACGTGGGGCACTGAGGTTAGTGGGAAGACTATTTGCAGAGGTAAAATGTAGTGATATTGGTGTCAATAAATACAAAGACAAGCAAGTTTGACACATTCACAAAAGAATCAACAGCATCTGGCAACTGTGATGTGGTACTAAGGTAGATGAAAACCATTCTAACATTTTCTCACATTTGAGTGCTGGATGACTAAAAGAGTGGTGGTCTAAAAATGAAAAAAAAAAAAGGCAAGTTAAGAGAAAGAAGTGACTTGACAAAATGAAAATGAGTTCAGTTTTAGATGCACTGAGTTTGAGAACATGCAAAAGAAAGACCTAGATGTTCCTAGAAAGACATGGGTAAAAAGTTTGCATCTAAAAATAGAGATCTGGTGGTTTAAATGCAAGAGCTGAAGCTATGGAATGAGATAATCAAGAGAAAGTGTAAAGAAAGCGAGAAAGGAAGGATGAGACTGAGAAATGTCACATTTAGAAGGCACAAAGAGAGGAAAGAAGTTAGTTTCAGACAAAAAAGGGGAGGTAGAAATGCAATAAAACAGAAGCCGAGGGGAACAATTAAGGGAGGAGTGATCAGAATTTCCAGTGCTTGGGAGATGCAGAAAAGGATGAGGGGGATAAGAAAAAGCTATGGCTCTGTTGGCAGCTGGGGCTGTTAATTCAGTGAAATTAACAGAAATAATTTCAATGTCTGGTGAAGCGTAAAGCAGTCTGGTAAGGAAGGCATCACCAAGTGAGCCAAGAAGAAGTCAACAGAGGCACGAGGTACTAACTGCCTTCTAAGCTCTGCAGCTGCATTTGCATCTGAAAAAGGAAATATCCTTTTATAGGTTTTTTAAGTCTACTAACTCTCTTAATCAAAATACTTATATTCTTTAAATTTTCTTCTTATGGGTCATTTAGTCAAGTCAGTTTTGTTTAACAAATACTTTATTTTAAAACATTGTATTTCCGAGATATATGCTGAAACAATCTTTTAAAATGGCATCAAGTCCTGTATAGGATTTAGATCTGTCCTTTCTAAAACCCCATAACTTTCCAACACAAACATGCTTCAGTTACAATGAAGTCGCTCTGCTACTCTGACTTTACACGTTTCCTCTGTGTGAAATGCTGTCTTTCTTAAAGACTCAGCTGAAAAATCAATTATTTTAAAGCATTCTCTGAAACGTTTTTCCCTTGTGCTCTTATTTTAAGTTCACAGTTTATAAGCACTACTCACATTATAGTTATTTGTACTGTAATTATGGGCTTACATATTTGTCTCCCCTGGCTTGACTCGCTTGAGAGCCAGGATTGCTACCCTGTTTCATGAGAAATTAGGATGAAGTAGGCACTAAATAAATGTTTGTTGAATGAAAGAAAGAACATACTTAGGAATCTTTAAAAAGGCAATTATAAAAGTTGAAGAAGCATCTAATCTAAGCATCTGTCAATATTCTTTGAGAGTCTGTTAAAAAAAAGTCACCATTTTATAAAATTAAAAATTTACCTTTATGCTTTCGTAAAAAATCAATGCTTTTCTGCAGAACAGTAGATTTGTCCATCTTTCTAGCATTACCGGGAAGCATGGATCCCAATTCTTTAATGAGAACATTAAACTGATCTCTGCGTTTCTTTTCAGATTTGTTTCTGGATACTCTGATGAAATAAATTAAACAATCAGTTTTTAAACAATCCATTTAATTATACAAATAGCTTAATACAATGCTAATTTGGACATGACCCACCATGTGCATGTGTCAGTACTGATGATAATAAATATTTATTGCCAAGGTTATCAACAACGTACAGTTAATTGGGCAATAATTTTTCATCTTAGTTTAAAATCACGTAAGAAACTTTTACACATCAAATATTTGACGTACGTGTTTTTGAAATACATGCCAATAAGACAAACTGCATTCAAATCATGGGTTTTATCAAATATTTACCAATGATTATAAACTTAAAAGGTTATTATAAATATTAATGAGATATACTTTGTGAAAGTACATATATAAATATAAATTATTAAAAACTGTTGAATAAAAGAAAGTTATCCAACTAATGTAAGTTTTAAACCAACAGAAATCTAAAAATGAAACTCTACCTCTGAGGAACGCATTCATTCTTCCTCTGTACTCCTAGATCCCAGCCTCCAACATATAGAGTTGTAGCCAATCATCTGACCACCCATCTCTCCATTAGGATACAGTCTCCTTGATAACAGAGCTTATGTTTTTTCCCCGTAATTACGCACTAAGCATAAAGTCTAACTAACAGCAACATTCCAAATGTATGGACATTAATTATTATTGTTATTGTATGTGTAACAGTAGCCTGTAAACAAAGAGTTCCAGAGACAAACTCAATTGTTTATAAAGCAATTAATCATTTCTTAATATCTTTAATTATATGCTTTGTGAAGCCAATTTTCTTTTCTTTCTTTCTTTTCTTTTCTTTTTTTTTGAGACAGAGTCTCACTATGTCACTCTTGGCATCACAGCTCAAACTCCTAGGCTTAAGTGATTCTCTTGCCTCAGCCTCTCAAGTAGCTGGGACTACAGGTGCCCGCCACAACGCCTGGCTGTTCTTTGGTTGCAGCTGTCGAACCCGCCACTGTGCTATGGGCGCCAAGCCTGAAGCCAATTTTCTAATTCAATTTTTCTTCAAAATAAAGCATAATACTTTTCCAAAAGGTAAGAGGATAATTTAATTTAATTTAAATTGTATATCAATATTCTAAGCTCTTCCACCTTTCTAATACATGGAAATTCTTAAAGCAGATATTTTTCGAAATCATTAATTCAGGACTTAGTTACCATTACATTTGTTTATTATACACTTACTCACTATTTTACATCTCAAATCAAACTACCTTTTTGCTTTGTCCTTGTCATCTTCTTCAACCAACCCATCAAAAATACTACTGTCATCTCTAAAAAAAAAAAAAAAGAAAAACAAAGTGAGTGGAAAAAATAAGAGCAGCTTCAGTGAACAAGAGTAATACTAAAATGCCATGTAAATCAACTCAGCTATAGCCCAGATTTTTATGAAGTTAATAGATTACACAATTTTAAACTACTAATCTGTTTTCTAGTATTAAAAAAATCAAAGCTTACCTGTATTTATATTTCTTGAAGTTTATTACATACATAAATTTTAAAAGTATTTATACTCAGCTATACTATTATACAACATGCTAATAAACAAGAATTTAACCAGTTTAAATAACTTGTTTCAAACTTTTAGTAATCAATTAAAATCCACAGAAATTCAGTGTATTTGCCATTAGAAATTATGTTCTATTTATTTTGTATACATAAACCATTATTCTAGTAGTGAATTTTTAAACAGCCTCATATAATTCAAAATAAGAATCTCTACAAACATACCTGTCAACAATTGAGCTCATTTTACTACAGCTTACAGTAAACAGCATAACATAATACGTTTCCGTCTTGTGGTAGACATTTGTACTTCTCCTAAAGTGAAAAGAAAAAGAAATGGTCATTAGTTTCCTAAAAATCTTAATTCTACGTTATCTTGAGGAATTCTACATGTTATCATAGACATTTCAAATGTTTGGTTTGTACTGAAGGCTAGAACATAATTTTCAAGAATAGATCTTTGGTTGAGGTACATCTGGGGGCTTTTTTATCCTTTTAAAAGAGGAAGAGACTAAAGGGAAAAATTCAGGTTTATAATTCATTTTCTTTCTACTATTAAATGATCAAAATGAAATAGACACTCTTAATAGTTGGAATATAAATTTGACTATGTAACTGTCTGCTCAGTAATAAAATGTACATTGAGAGCCTATTTTCTCTTAAATGGTAGGAGAGGCGTGGGTATAGCAGAGTGAAAGATATTGTCCCTGTAGGCAAAAATTTGCAGTTGAGCAGGGAGATATATACCCAAATAATTATAAGAAGTAAATGAAGAATGCCTACTAAGTAATGGCATCACTGGGGAAAGGAACAATTAAGTGTACTCATGGGAATTAAGAGAGCAGAGTCTAAGGAAACATTCTTGATGACAATGAGTTTGTGGAATCAAGATTCTTGTTACAGCTGTGAACAAATGTTCACGTTTATATTCCTAGCACTTTGGAAGGCTGAGATAGGAGGATTGCTTGAGCTCAGGAGTTCAAGACCAGCCTTAGCAAGTACAAGACCTTGTCTCTACTAAAAATTGAAAAACTAGCTGGGTGTCGTGGCAGGCATTTGTAGTCCCAGGTACTCAGGAGGATTGCTTGAACCTTGAGCTACATTAACCCCACTGCACTATAGCCAAGGCAACAGAATGATCCTCAGTCTCAAAAAAAAAGTAAGAAAAAAAAAAAGAAAGAAAAAGATTCTTTTTACTGTCAAGTACAGAATTAATAGCATCAGCATCCTCTGAGAGCTTGGTTAAAGGGGACATCATGGGCCCTATCCTAGTCCTACTGAATCAAAACCTGTATTTTCCCAAGGTTTCCATGCAATAATGCAGAATATTTGAGAAGCACAGACTAGAAAACAGAAAGAGGTAACTGCTGAAAAGATTCTAAGCCACAGGAATGGTGATTTGCAGAGATGCAGAACTTCATCAGAGAGGTGAACACAGTATTTAAGAAATTAAGAAGTTTAGCATTTTCCTATGCAAAACTTAGGCATGTTACAATTTAAAGTTTTAATTACTAGAGCACAAAGGGAGAATAGAAATAGTAGAGGAGCAAAGATAAGTCAAGAAGAGAAGAGCCTTATTAGAAAGGGTGTCCCTCACACTGAAGGAATTAAAACTTGGTGCTTCATGAGCCTAAAACTTGCCTTTCTGGAATTGATGAATTAAGTACCCTTAATCCAAAAAGCTGAATTCCAAAATGGTCCAAAATCTCAAAATTTCTGAGCACCAACCTGATTTTCAGAGAAAATGCCCACTGGATCATTTTGGATTTCAGATTTTTGGATTAGGGATGCTCAACTGGTAAGCATGTACACAGTAAATATTTCAAAATCCAAAATACTTCTGGTCATAAGGGTTTCACATAAAAGATAATCAACGTATACATAGTGTTTCTAAAAGTATAATACTGAATGATGACCTTAATTCTAATGAACGTCCTAACCAACAGTTTTGAGGCATAAGAAATTCTACTTCAGGCTCGGTGCCCATAGCCAGTGGTTAGGGCGCCATCCACATACACTGGGGCTGGCAGGTTCAAACTGGCCTGGGCCTGCTAAACAACAATGACAACTGCAACTAAAAAACAGCCGGGCGTTGGGGCAGGCACCTACAGTCCCAGCATCTCGGGAGGCTGAGGCAAGAGAATCTCTTGAGCCCAAGAGTTTGAGGTTGCTTTGCGCTATGACACCACAGCACTCTACTGAGGGTGACATAGTGAGACTTTGTCTCAAAAAAATTAGGAAATACTATAATGTATAACTCTTGTTAAACCAGAGAAAATTGAGGTATTATAAGAAGACGAAATTCTACATAATTCTGTCACTGTTTTCAAACGTGCCTTCACAAGAGAAAGAGAGAATAATCCCGGTGACGATGCCGCACTGCCTGTGTGGCTGCAGAAGTGGGAGTCAAAGGCAAAAATAAAATGGACTAACGCTAGGATAAAACACTATGATTTTAAGTGTCTGGGATATTATCAGCAGACAGACACAGAATTACAGAAATTTAGAGTCAAAAGAGAATTTAAAGATCACCTAAATACACCCCTCTGGTCCAAAAGACATACTTGCCATTATGTAACAACAGAGGTTCATTCTATCCCTGGAACAAAAAGAACAGTACAAAAGTAATAGAGCAAATTTGGGAGAATTCAAAAAGAAAAGTTTCATTTAACGTTAACAGGCCAGTGCGAGCCTTACAAAGTGCCCAGAAAGCCATCAGTATGTTGGTTTAGTTACCAAAGGTCGGAAACAAGACAAACTACAAAAATAAAAGGCCCTGAGAACTAGAAGTCATACCACAGGGCCTTGCTGTCAATATGAAGAATGAAACCAAAACAGTTTAGAAGACACAGACAGAGGCTTTCTCAGGCTGTTTTACTAATACTGTTAATACTATTTATTGCCCAGCAAATAGAATAAGACTATATCTCAAACAGTCTAGCTCAAGACCTTTTCTCTACTTTTCCAGGTATTTGATCGACATGCTTTAATTTAAGGAAAACATAGGAATAAAATAGGTCCACTGAGTACTCTACAGTAGCTGCTGGAAGATTTCCCCAAACTTCGTTAAATGGTATTAAACTAACTTTAACAAAACAAAGTTGTAATGGTGGAAGAGTCAAAACATTTTTGGGGGGGACTAGGTTCCCTGCTTTCAATCCAGCGAGAGTAGCCAGTCCTATTTGCCCACACTATGGATTCTGAGAAGGATGTACACGCCACGCAGTGTCCCTGCGCAAGCTCAAAAGGTATCTCGAGTCTATGATCCATATAAAATAAATTTTATTAATCAAAGTGTTTTTTTAATTTGGCATTTTAGGTCAGAATAGTATGTAATAATCACCTTTGAAAAGACTGGCTGAAGTAACTATATAATCCAGAATTTGCCAATTATAAAGAATCAAATTACAGGTAGTAATCAAATGCTCCTCTATTTAAGCAACTGGAGCTCAAAGTCATTCAGCGATAAAAGACTTCCCAGATGACCATACATCACATTACCATTTCATGCCAACAGGGGGCAATGACGGCATGAGTCTTTTACAAGCACTGTTTTAAAAACTAGCTTTAAAAAGTATTCATCATTTGTGGCTGAGTCTGGAGGACATGTTGCATGAAATAAGTCAGGTACAGAAAGCGAAATACCACACTCACACCTAGAAAGTCACACAACAGATGGAAGAATTTCAGATATTAGAGGCTGGGAATGGCAGGAGGGTGGGGAGGATAAAAAGAGGTTGGTTAATGGATACAAAATTCCAGCTTTGTAGGAAGAATAGGTTCTAGTATTCTATAGCACTGTAGGGTAAATATAGTTAATGATAATTTATTGAATACAATATTTTCAAAAAGCTAGAACAACAGATTTTGAATGTCCTTCATAGAAAGAAGTAATAAATGTTGAGGTGATGGATACATTAGTTACCCTGATTTGATCATTTATACATTGTACACGTGTATCTGGAAACATCACTCTCTAGCCCCTAAGTATGTAGAATTATTATTTGTTAACTAAAAACAAAAGGAAAAAATATTTATCAAATGGAGAGATTAGTAGCTAAGAGACTTTATAAACAATTGAAATTTCATCAAATAGAGAAACAAGTATGTTTTAATTCACCATGCAACATTATACATAATTATGGAAAGCCTCAGACTCTGACAGTGTATCTTTGGAAAAATACTCTTACACATATAAAACATATTCTCTACTCTCCAAATAATCTACAGTTCCCAATGACATGATGAGACTCTTCATCTGATCCCATCTGTTGCCACCTCCAAAGCTTCCCACTCCTACATCACTAATTCTCTCCTATGTATTATATTAACACATCTTAGTGTCTATCATCTAAAAAGCAAAACAACCCCCCCAAAACAACACAAAACCTCTCTTAACCCACCAATCCCTTCAGCCATTGCCCTACTTTCCTGCTCCCTTTCCCAGGAAAGCTGCTTGTCTGAGTTGTGGAGAGTGTTTCAATGTGCTTAGTTCCACTCTCCTTATTTTAAAAGTTAGGGTTTATTTTCACCAAGGTACAAAGTTTAAAGAGTTCACAGTTTTACAAGACTTACTAAAAATCAAATCCTCTGTCTTCTGATCCCCATTTCCCCTTTCAACTACTTTCAATTTTTTTTAACTATTTCTTTGGTATTTAACTCTCAATCTTTTAAAATTTTTGTCACTTCTTTGATTATTTCAGTTTTAGGCAGGGTGCTTAGACAGTCCCAATTTGTTCAAGTTATCCCAATGTAATTATTAAAAGTGCTCCCTTTTGCTCTCAGAAATAACCTTTTTTAAAATCTACTGAATTCCTAAGAAAAATAATAATTCGGCTCTTTGACTCCCCAACCTCCCTTCTCCAAGTTCACAGTGTCATGATGCTGGATAGGTGGCTATATTCAGATGTGACATTATTATGACTTTGTAAATGCAGTTCACAGCAGAGCCACAGAGTGCACTACAGTTACACCCCCACCCCTTTTTAGACAGACTCACACTCTGTCATGCAGGCTAGAGTGCCATGGCCGCAGCCTAGCTCACTGGCAACCTCAAACTCTTAGACTCAAGCAACCTCTTACCTTAGCCTCCCAAGTAGGAAGGACTATTGGCATGTGCCACAACACCTGGCAAAGTTTTCTATTTTTAGTAGAGATGTGATCTCACTCTTGCTCAGGCTGGTCTCAAACTCCCAACCAACCTCAGGTCATCTTCCCACCTCAGCCTTCCTGAGTGCTAGGATTACAAATGTGAGCTACTACACCTGGCCTTCATTCCCTTTTCTAGGGTCACTATTTTGTTTACTTAGTTTCTGTGTATACTTATTACCAATTCAGGTTCTCTATTTAAATCTACTCTATTTGCTATATCTTGAAATACATAACATATTCTACCAATTTCACCTGTTCACAGCTATTTCTCATGAAATCTTCTAACCTGTTTCCACTGGAACTAAGATGCCATCTACTATACCTGGTGATCACCTGTCATCTTGTGGTTACTGTTCAGCATCCTGGCGAGTCCCTGGGTGATGAAACAGTGGTAAATTCCCTCTATTTATGTTGAATTCCCTGTTACTTGTGGCTTATGCCTTTGTCTTTTTTAGTTTTTTTTTTTTTTATTGTTAAGCTCTTCCTCTAATAAACACCTAAGAAAGAGGACAGAGCAGGTAAATTGTTTAAGACTGTGTAAGTCTAAAACTGTCATTAGACAAACATATCATTAATCAATAGTTTATCTTGGGTCTAAATATTGCATTGGAAATCATTTTTCCCTCAAAATTTCAAAGACTCCATTATCTCCTAGTTTCTAATGTGATATTAAGAAGTTCAAAGCCATTAGGATTACTGATTCTTAATATGTGACCTATTATTGCTTTCACTCTGGAAGCACTCCTGTGTTCTAAAATTTAACAGTAAGGTGCCCCATTTCAGACTTATTTTTATCCTTGTATTGGTCACTTGACATATTCTAACTGGAAACTCATGTCCCCTAACACTGGAGAGTTTTCTTGAATTTGCTATCCTTTGTTTCTCTTCTCTATTTCCTATTCCAGTGGTTCTCAACCTGTGGTCGCGACACATTTTTAACAACGAAAATACACTGCAGCATTAGGAAGGTGGGGAACCACTGCTCTATTCCTTCTTTCTGGAACTCCTATTATTTGAACCTTAGAGATCTTCAACTGCTGCTCTTCTTTTTTCTCTTCTCATGTTCCATCTCGTTGCTCTACTTTTAATATATCAATTTTATTTTTCAATCATTTCATGAGTTTTTTTTTTTTTCTTTTTCTTTGTTGAGACAGAGTTTTGCTCTGTGGCCTGGGCTAGAGTGCCTGACCCTAGCTCACAGCAACCTCAAACTCCTGGGCTCAAGCCATGCTCTGCCTCAGACTCCCAAGTAGCCAGGACTACAGGCATCTGCCACAATGCCCAACTAATTTTTCTTTTCTTTTCTTTTTTTTTTTTTTTGAGACAGAGCCTCAAGCTGTCCCCCTGGGTGGAGTGCCGTGGCATTACAGCTCACAGCAACCTCCAACTCCTGGGCTCAAGCGAGTCTCCTGCCTCCGCCTCCCAAGTAGCTGGGACCACAGGCGCCCGCCACAACGCCCGGCTATTTTTTGGTTGCAGCTGTCATTGTTGTTTGGCGGGTCCGGGCTGGGGATTCGAACCCGCCACCTTAGGTGTACGTGGCTGGCGCTTTAGGCGGTTGAGCTACAAGCGCTGAGCCTAATTTTTCTATTTTTAATAGAGAGACAGGGGTCTCACTCTTGCTCAGGTTGGTCTTGAACTCCTGAGCTCAAGGGATCCTCCTGCTTCAGTCTCCCAGAGAACTAGGATTACAAGTGTGAGCCCAGCCCTCGCTGAGTTGTTCACTTCCAATTTCATTTCTTATTATTTCTGTTTCAACATATGCTCTTAACTTTCTAAAAGGTTTGTATTTTGGTTTTTACCTGCCCACCTGGTCTCCACATTCCCAACTTAGCATCTGCTCTGTTGGTTTGATTTTGTCCTCACATGACAGGTTTTCCTCCCATGTCTAGTGATCTCTGGTCACCACCTCCTTTTTTCAGGTGGGCCTTGAGGAGGTCACTGGACGCTCTGTGTGAGAGGGCTTGTCCACTCAACTCTACTACAGGAAGATCAGGTTGCAATAATTCTTTGGGAAATCCTCTAGGTCAGTATCTTCAGATCTTTTCTCTTAGGCTGGTTTATAATTCACAGAAAAAAAATCTTAACTCTTGACTGAAAAGTATAAAAACCTGAGTTCTTATTTCCTTCAATGTCACCACCATTCTCAGCTATGTCTGTTGCTCCTTTCTTTTAGAGAATTAAATCTCTAGATTTCTGCTAAGATAGGGAAGGAGCACTTGCCTCAGTTCCAAAGAAATAGATCTATGGCGTATAATCAGCATTTAACTGGATTTGCCACTAATCATTCTGTTTTAGTCTCACCATCACTCTTATTTAAAAAGTGCTTCTAATTCATGAGAATTTTAGAGAATCTATAGAAGTGCCAAGAAGTTTGTTTCTCAGCTTTCCCCACACAGGGGCTGGTGATTATAGGACCTGCAAGAAAGTCACTGTATTTCCTTTTGCCTTTTGGGTTCCAAAATTTGTTGCTATTGTTTATGCTTCCATTGTCCTTGTCCTGGTTAAGTTACATCTTTTGTAAAAACCTTTTTACTTTAGATTTAGTGAGGTTTCAAGAGGAAATGAAACTTACTTGCACTTTATTTGCCATCTCTAATGGGAAGTCCCTCATTCTTTTTCTTCACGACTCCTAATTAGGCTTTCATCCCTATCTCTCCACTGAAATTGCTCACTCTAGAGTTACCAGAAACTGCATGCTGTCAAATCTAATCGCTGCTTTGCTCTGCTCTCAACTGAACCTCTTAGTAAGTGTGCTGCAGATGACTACTTCCACATTTATTAAATACGTTCTTTTCTTGATTTCTGTGGCAGAACACTTTCATCTCACTGGCTGCTCCTTCTCCTCTGATCAACATTGGCACATGCCAGGACCGAATATTTTTAATCACTTCCCAGATAATTTCATCCAGACACATGACTCTCAAGTCCACACTTCTAGAGCACATTTTCAAATGCAGAGTCACACATCCAACTGCCTTTTTGACATTTCTACAGATTTTACAGGTGTCTAAAATATCATATAGCCAAAAAAGACCGTGACTTTCTTCTATACATTTGCTTCTCTCCCATTTTTTTTCCAACCTGATCTCTGTATATTCTCCATAACTTACTCTGCTCTGGTCATATTTGCCCCTTCTGTCCCTTAAGCATGCTAACATCATTCTTGTTCCCACTACTTGTTAAAGGTCTTCTCAGACCTTCACAGGGCTGGCATCTTCTTACCATTCAGATCAACAAAATGCCCCCTTTTCAAAGAGGGCTCCTCTAACTACCTAGTGAAAACTGTCACTAGTCTCTATCCCATCACCTATCTTAACTCTCTGCATAGTACTGACCACGAGCATCTTGTTGTGTCTATTTGTCTTGGTCTAGAATGCAATCCTTGTAAGAGGAGGGAAGGCTTCTGTCTCATTCAGTGTATTCTTAGTATCTAAAAAGATATCTGGTACACAATATTTTTGGATTAATTAACATAAAAGGAAAATTATTAAAATAAGTTTCCTCAAGTTAGTGTGTCAAAATAGTTCACAGATTCTTTTATATACTTTTTAGGAAAAATACTATTCTATGATACATTCTAAGATGCATTTCTTTACCTTTTGTAAAAACAAACTATTCTTTACATTTTATAAAAAAATACTATTCTACGATACATTCTACGATGCATTTCTTTACCTTTTGTACTCTTTGGATCCTTTGAACTGATTCTTCAGAATACTGTAAGTTCAAGGTACTCTTCCATATGACCAACCATGAGTCTCAGAATTCTATTTAAACAAGAAATATATATATATTAGATTTATACAACTTATGAAGAAATTTATCATGAAAAAAGGTTTTAAAATAATTTTTCAACATAATTCAGAACTCTTGTCACAAAAATATACATAACATTTAAATTCTACAAATTATTTCTAAAAAAACCCGAAATAACCTAAAAATCATGAATAAACCAAATCACTTTTAATTCTGACACAGAAATTAAAATACAAAAGTATGAAAGTAACTATAATTATAAAAACATGTTAATAAATATAGAATATAAAAAATAACTTGTGACATCAATAACAAAGTGGGGCACTAATAGAATTTTATATCCACTTTAAAGTTAGGTTGGTAAGAGCTTAAAATAGTTATAACTGCAAGATTTTTTTTTTTTTTTTTTTTGACAGAGCCTCAAGCTGTCACCCTGGGTAGAGTGCTGTGGCATCACAGCTCACA